TCTTACTTACAGAAGGAAAAAGTGGATGGATTGGATTGGATTGGATTTGAATGGCCAGTTCTGTAACCAAAGTGGATACAAACACAAGATTGAAGGGGCGGAATTGCGCGCGAAATCGCTTAAATATGTGTGCATATATAGTAACCAAATTGTACATATATAACATTATGAACTTTTACCTGAAAAAATATTGTATACAAGCCCCTATTTAAGCGACGGATTATGATGATACAAGAACTAATCCTAATTTTTCTTTTGTTGAACAAATTAAACGGATTAACTTGATGTCAAACTGGATTAAGGTGCGTAGCTAACTTTCCCACTATAAAGAGTCCGAGGTTTCCAAATTTCACCAAATTTATTTTCTAATTTAAGTGGGTCATCAATTTATAAACACACTATATTTGCTATTTATTTTTGAAGGACTAAATTAAGTGATCAATTCATTTGAGCTCATAACTACTCAAACTCAATGTGGGTACAATGGGTGAAAACCCACATACATTGTACAAGCCAAATCTTGCAAACTGACCAAATTTTATTGAAAGAACAATAACGTATTAAATATAAAACTCCTACTCCCAGCTTCGGATCCTACTAGCTAGGGCTGGGAAAATAGACCAGACCGTTAGAAAAACCGTGGTCCAAACCGTACCGCACAGTTTGGTCCGGACCGTAGACCGTGAAGTATGGTCTGGTCTGGTCCATGGTCTGTATTATTTTATGATTTGATCTCTTGGTCTGGTCTGGTCTAGACCGCGGTTTACCGGACCAAACCGTAGACCCAACTGACTTGTCAATACGTGTTAACAGCTCATTCGACCACTCTCCAAACTCCCACAACGACACCCAAGTCTCAACCTTAATTTTGTGAATCTCTTCCCTCCTTCATTCACAACCACATTTAACCATAGAGTAGAGATAATCGTGTCTCCATATGACATTATGGTGCAAGCTGGGATGCTTTTACTTTGTATCTTTGTTATGTACTAAGATTTAGAGTATCAAAATTATTCATGCATGTTAGGATTAATGTTTTAAGGCAAATAACAATTATTTTTCTTGGTTATTGGTTCAATTTTTTGTGAGGTTGACTAAACAAATTTTTCATTTTTCGTTGAGTGTGGTCTATCTGGACCAGACCAGACCGAACCAGACCGCACAGGCGTGGTCTAGACCAGACCGTATAGTCTGTGGTCTGGTCTGTGGTCTATACTTTAGCCTCTCGGTCTGAACCGTAGACCGTATATATGGTCTGGTCTGGACCAGACCGCACCGTTTCCCAGCCCTACTACTAGCAACAAACAGCCCCCATTCTCCTGATTTTAACACCCACGATTAACTACTTTGGCCATTAGCTAACTCGACTAACACCCATACACATTTGACTCCAACCAACAATTCAAAACGACAAAGCACAACAAAGGCCCCATATGCATTGACACGTTACTTTTATTCTAACATAGCCTCCCCTTTATGAAGAATTTCAAGACTTCAGTTTATTACCAAGCAACCTGCAGAAACAACAACAACAACGATCTTTATTCTTTAGGATCTCCTTAATTTTGTCACACATTTAATGATCAACTATTATAGTAGACTGCCATATAAGCAAAAGTTAACAGAATTGAACGAAGAGTGACCAAACTTAAAATATTTAATCAGATTTTTTTTCCTGTTCTTTTTCTTTTTACCTCTATCTTTATCATCAAATATTCTCTTCCGTCTTCTCCACATTATCATTGTCTTTATTATCTGACTACGGTAAATGACTAATTAGTTATTCTTTGAAAATGAATTTATTTAGAGAGGTAACCATGGGATTAATTATATGGATGTTTTTTTTTTCAATTTTGGCCGCCAAGTCAGAGTCCAATTTTTTTTTTTGTATTTTCCTATATATTTGTACTTCATTCGGTTATATTATTAAAGAATAAACAGAAAATTTACTGAATCAATTATCTCAAGTCTCTTATTATTCTTCCTCACTAATCCTCTTAATTTTGTCCTCTCTAAACCCTAATTTTATTCTATATCTCTCTGGATTTCTATCAATCCCCTTAAATTATGTAGTCTCAATGGAGTTATAATTCTTCCTCATCATATAATTCTCTTTTTTTTTTTGCCTTTTTATGCCAAAATCTCCTCTAATCATATATTTTTATTAATCAAACTCATATTCGGGGATCCGCTTTCTCATCAAATTATATATACTTGGAAGCTTTGGAGGATATTTCGCTGCCAAAGAAGCAGCATGGTCTCCGATCGAGAATGATGATGCAACTACCTTTTGGTTGTTTGCAACGTCAATTGGAAATTTTCTGTTCAGATTGTTGCAGTTGGAGTGAATTGGAAGTGAACGTGTGGTTGAGCCAAGTATAGGAAGAAATTCATACAAAATCATGTTAATTCTTTAGGGAAAGAATCTTTCAAAGGAGATGGATTGATGAAGTATTAGTTAGTTATTATTATTCTTTATGGCAAGAATGTTTTCCTATAGTTTCTCCTATTATTAGCCATCCTACCATTCTTGCCCCCACACTCTAATTGTGTAATACATCTCCCTTCATTTCTATCAACTTTCTTCAAAACTCTCTCAATTCTCTATCCATCTTGTGATTTGAACCTCCATCAGTAAATGAATAACATGTCACTCTCTATCCATCTTAGTTCTTCCTTTATCGCATAGAGTTTATTTGTCTTCTTAATTTTGGCCAATTCTTCTTGATTTGTATCTCTCTATTAATCTATATTGGGTTCCAATATTATCTCTCCTATCAAATACACCATCTCGATCCACCATTAGCATACTCTCACTTCTTCTCTTGCATTTTATTGTAAGCAAAACTTAAATAGTATTTGAAATATCATTTTAGTGCAAGTAAAATGACATGATTTCATCTCATCTTCAAAATCGTGGATCCATTAATTAACCATTCGTTTGAATGATATTTAACTTGTATGTATCCTATCCTATAGAATAACTTTCACAATTCGGAATCAGTAGTATTTTTAAGTGTGTCCTAGATACACATGTGAATGATAGTATTTCCAAAGTCAAGTTGTTTTACATTCATGAATGAATAATAATTATAATGATAAAATGATATTTCCAAACTTTTATTGATAAATCTTATCCAACAAATCTACTAAAGGTTAGAACTCTTTGATTATAAAAATAGATGTTTGTAACAATTCATTGTTTTATTTATTGTGTGTGAATATGAATATACACTTTAAACTCTGTGGGTATTATCATCCAACTATGTGGGTCTACTATTACAACCCTTACAAACAAAACACTAAAGACTCTTATAAATCACATTCTTTTAATAAGGATGCGACAGTTTCATTACTTAAGGGATTGCACAATATATAAATAGTTAAATACTACTGAGAGAAGTACAACTGAACCAAGGGCAGGATGGAAGAGACGAAAAACAACAACATAGACACAAATAAAAAAACAGCAAAAATATCCAATATATATCCACACGAGTTCACCTATGTTGCTAAACAATGGACTCATTCCCTCATAAGTTCCACAGTATAACACCATCATGAATATGTTACTTGGTTGGCATGATAATCTCGATCTTCGTTACCAAGTCACTAGCATCAATGTGATATAGGGAAGATAAATTTGCAGTTCTTAGATTGTTACATGCTGTTTTGTGTAGGGATGGCAACAAAACTCGAACACACGGGTACCCACCCGACCCAGCCCGGTTAACGCGGGTAATATCCGTGTTGATGGGTTTTGGGTCGGGTTTGGGTTTAAACCAGTTCACTATTCACTGGGTTGGGTTGGGTTTAGGTTTAGGTGGGTACCCACCCACACCCATATAGTTAATTTTCTCGGTATATTTAATATTCTAAACAACTAATCTTAGTTATGTTTGAGGAGACATGTCTAATTTTTTCTTTCAAATTGTGTAGCATGAAGTTGATGTTATCGAGTGGAGAGTGAAGAAAGTTGATTGAAAGGAAGAAGCTTTCAATTAATCATGTTATTTATGGATAATTTATAATTTGCTTCAATTTTTTTGAGTTTTCTAGATTGGTGTTGAACAATTTGTATAGTTAATTTGTGATTTGCTTGAATTTTCTAGAATGGTGTTTTATATATGGATAATTTGTATTGAGAGATTGATATTTGACTTTAATTTTGATAGAAACTTGTTATTGTAATTTTTTTACGACAAAAACCCGTGGGTACCCATGAACCCACGGATACCCAACGGGTTGGGTTGGGTTTGAGTTTTTCAAACCCAATGGGTTTTACCCCAGGTTTTTTTCACGGATAAACCCATGGGTTTGGGTTTTGGATTTGGAAAAACCCGACCCATTGCCATCCCTAGTTTTGTGGCGTAAAAAAAGTTGTGTCACAACCAAATTAAGTGAACAAAAGTATTTTTCATGGGAACAAATGTGAACTTTAGAGCAATTGAATTCCCTGTGTATATTACATTCGTCAAAGTTGGAAGAAACTGAAATTTAGTCCCGTTAAACTGGATGAAATTGAAATGTAGCCTGGTTAAAGTATAATTCATGTGAACAAATGTTTAATCAAGTGATTTTATTGTTGGTCTTCAATTTAGAGGTCATATGTTTGAGTCTCTTAAATAATATATAATAATAATTAAAATATGTTGTCCTCATTAAACAGTTGGCTTTGATCTTTAAAAATGTGGGTTGAGTCGTGTCATTTTTCAAGCCTAGTTGAGTTGTTAAATCATGAACAACTCAATTCCCTAATGCTATTCATTTAATCCTTAAACTTGTCGTTGATGTGTAGCGAGTTATAGGAGATAAATAATTTATTCAATTGTTTCCATAAACTGGTGGATGAGAAGCGATTCGATCGAAGAACAAAGTGAAAGTTTATTAAATGTATAAAGCGTAATTATTCTATCGATCCAAACAAAAATACAACTATATAATTGTATGTCATTGATCTTCTTGTCGTGCACTAAGGTTTCTGAACTAATTCATGTTTTCTATTCCCAACGAACCTGCAGTTTTTCTTCCCATTGATTATTATCGTGATTCATCCTTTTGGAATAGACTCCATCGTCTTTACCAATCCAGTAATTATGGTATCCATATTCCTTAGGAGTTTGCTCTTCGTTGTTTATGTAAGCTACAAAAGCAGCCGTTCTAATGTTGTGGGATGGCTGCAAACGACACCAAAACAGAGTCTGCTTGAAAACTTCGTTGCGAAAGTGCCATTGGAATTCGTTGTTTACTGCAATATAATGAAGTCCGAGATCGTCCTCCTTTGATTTGCAGTGCACTAGTAACTGGGCTGAGGGGTCACTCAGGTGGTTTAGTATGTGGACATAATGAACTTTCCACCAGAATTTGGCTGAGTTATGGGGAAGCAAGACTAAGAAAGTGATTAGGAATATGGTGATGGACTGACTAATAGTAGTATCCATTACTTACCTGTCCGTAGTACTACTAATTCTACTCTTCTCTTTTCTGTAGGTTGTCTGTTAAGCGTTTAGAGTCTTTATATATATGTTGTCACATTGTTGCAATATCTTCTCCCATATTAACTACTAATTCATATCGCCATCAATTACTTTCCAAACATAACACCCTACTTAAGATGAAAGTATATTAATTAAGTTTACCTTCCAAATGCTCATAAGTTTTATATTAATAAATACGACTCGTTACCGTTTTACTTTTCATAGAACTAGAAATGTGTTGTTTCTTGGAATGAACCTCGTTCCAACTTCAAGTGATCATAGACTTGGCCATTATGTTGGCTTGTGTGATCTCAAGTTACGGGGTCGTAGTGGGTCGGGTCATATCATATTGGTTGATTTTGGGTCAAGTACTGACCCAACCAAAATATCAGGGTTGAATTTTAGGTCATTTTACGTTACGAGTGTTCCGGGAAATACAAACATTAACATGATTCAAATATTTTCCATTAAGACAAATTTTCACACACATATATAGTAATAGTTTAACTACACATGTCTATTAATATATTTTTCAAATCTTCAAATATTATTGAAAGAAAATATAAATTGCACAAAAAGCCAAAGAAGCATCATGAGAGTAATAATAATGCAAACAACACATTATATTGAGTATCTCTAGATTCTGATATTTTATCTACTAGCTTATTTGATTATTTATATTTTCATGTTACGTTTAAGTCTATCAACTTGTTTAATTTTATTGACAATTCTTCGATCGAGATGATACATAAAGAAATAATATATAGATCGAACATTTGGAGAAATATAAAAATGTATCATTGATCTCATTTTCATAATGATAATTAAATCCCCAGTAAAATGCTATTGGTTAGTTGATTGTTTAGAAAGATAGATTATAAAAGCTCATTGAAATTCCCTCACGAACCATAGATAGTTTGAAACTAAATCTTAAATCTTGCAATCCTACATTAAGGTTCAATGCTCTCCTTTAAGGAACAATATGTCACTAATCAAAAAGAAATGGAGAGTTGTTGATTCAAGTCAACTATATGCTAACAACTCAGCTAAGAGGGGACCATCACAACTTGAGAGCAAATGCCAAAATTAGGGTTATCTCCAATATACTAATAGACTCGATCAAATTAATAAGGAACAAAATTAGACACTTCTTCTTTATCATTTACAGTAGGTTGAAAAAGAATCGACCAATCTACTTCAGTAAATCAATCGATGATTCCTCGTTTTAAGATAAAATTCGGTTGCGATAGCTTCAAAAATCATAAACCGAAAGATCCAACAGCCACCACTCTCCATTGTCAATAAAATTTTTATTCACTCTATCTTCAATCTCAAGAGGCGTATGTTTCAACCAAAAATTCAATTTTTAATCCTCCTTTTGCACCTCCATTTATTGAACTCCATTATATTTGCCATGGATTGATATCAGAGTTGAAATATTTTACTTGCCATGTTTAAATCCCCAAGAATAAAGTCGTAGTGCCAAGAGACCGGAAGATTGATTTTCAAAGGCGGCCTTGTACTATGAAGTGTGAAGTGAAAGGGGGCGCGAACTTTTGCATGATAGAGGGAATTTCAGAGGAAGTTAGAAAGGGATAAGAACAAAGATAAAAAAAGTACAAATTTAAATATAAATTGAAAAATGCAAGGACACAACACGTAGTAATAGAATTAGTTTCTTTCATGTTGGCCAATTACCAATTTACCTTTAGCGAAAATTTTAAGGAGAGAGCAGTGATTTTAGAATTGAGAAACTACATGAAACTCAACTATGAAAATTGCAGTATCAAGCATCATAAAAATACATACGGTAGACTTAGTGGCTTTCTAATCATGATGAAAATATCATCTAATTTTCAGAGTGTCACTTCGTGTATGTTTTAATATTAAAAAAGATACAAAAAATTTGTTTAGTATAATTGGTTATTACTGTTGTCTTTGTTTAGTATAATTGTGTATTGGGCTGGAATTGGGCCCATCTTGTAAACTATAACCTAAGTCCAAAACTGGATCGTAGCAAAATGAATCAAGGCAACTGATTTTAACCTGCAGGATTTCCTCCTTCCCCCTGCAATTCTGTCGTCAGCTGCCACGAAGGAAGGAATGCAGTCTGCGGCCCTCTCCGAAATCCCACAAAACCCCAATCCTCAATTTCCTCCGATGGTCGGGGAACATAATCGAAGCTCAAGAGAAATTAATGGACTAACAGCCGAGAAGGAAGAGCGGGCCCAACCTCCCATCCCAACTGTGGGATGAGCGAAGCATCCTTCCTGCTCGACAACTATCCCCTGCTTCAAAGCAATCGCCTTCATATTCGACGTTTCTACGCCTTGGTGTCTTTCCGGCGAGCGATCCCCACTCCCCAGCCAAGCGTCGTCGTCCAAATCTTTCACTTGCAGCAATGGCTTTGTATCTTGCGCGCTCTTGCACAACTTATCTCGGGCTTCCTCTGGGTGCTCATCCGACATTGAATTCTACTTGGCAGCCAGTCGTAGACAGCCTTACTAGACGATTGTCTAATTGGAAAGGGCTCATGTTATCTCTTGGAGGACGGATTGTGCTCATTAAAAGCACTCATGCTGCACTTTCAGTTTATTATATGTCCTTGTTGCTGACCCCAAAATATATTATACACAAGTTGGAGAAAATTCTAAAACGCTTCCTTTGGGCTGGAACTGGAGAGTCCAAAATTCACTTAGTTGATTGGAAGATCACCAAGGCGCCACGCTCTATGGGAGGATTGTCTATCAAATATTTGAACAGCTTCAACACCTCCTTACTCCTTAAATGGTTTTGGAGGTTCCATGTTGAGCCAAACTCTTGGTGGAGATCTCTCATTTCTTGCAAATTCAATTACAGATCAAATTCTTGGATTCTTCAACAAAACTCTGGCCATATGCGCAACTCAATTTGGCGAAGAATTTTGAAGGTTGAGCATGAATTCTGGCGTATTGCAGTGATCAAACCCGGGTACAACTCTCCTATCTCTTTCTGGCAGGACCCATGGATTCCACATATCATCCTTGCTAAGTCCTTCTCTTCCCTTTATGCGGCTGCTTCCAACCGTTCCTGTCTGCTTTCTGAAGCGTACCAAATTCAGAATGACACTACTACATGGTATGTAGAGTTCAATAATAGCTTCAGGGGAAATCTGCAAAGTCAGTACCAACTTTTTCAAGATCTCCTCAATGCTATATCTATTCAGTGGCTAAATGCAGACTCAGCTTCTCTACAATGTTTACTTCCGGATAAGCGGTTCTCTGTCAAGAGCACCTACTCATACATTACTCGAGAGGCTTTTATGGGACTTGGTGAGAACTTCCCGGGGAAGATTATTTGGAACCAGATCGCACCACCAAAAATATCGGCTTTCGCTTGGTTGGTTTTCCAAGGGAAAATCCTTACTCTCGATCAACTTATTACTCATGGATGGTGTTTGCCCAATTTTTGTTGCATGTGTTATGCTGCAGGAGAGTCCTCAGATCACCTTCTTATGCATTGCCTCTATGCAAACCAAGTATGGGATTTTTTCTTCTGGCAGCTGCAACTTCAAGGTCCCAAGCCAAGACGTTGTAGAGAGTTACTCCAACAATGGACGTATCTTTCAAGAGGTGTTCGATACAAGAAGGTTGTTCGATACAAGAAGGTTGTTCGCATCCTCCCATTAGTAATCTTTTGGCAGTTGTGGATTGAGAGGAATGCAAGAATATTCAAGGATGAAAGAGAGACTCCCACGTCCACTATCAACAAAATTTGCAGTGTTGCTTGCGAATTAGCTTTGGCTCACAAGCTTGTCCCTGTGCAACATATTACCCATTTGTATTCTTTGTTCTTCGGAACCATCTCTAGCACTGCTTTCCAACCTCCTTGATCCTTTTCTTATTTACTTTCTATTGTACTGAACCTTTTATTCATGGAGTTAGTCTACTTCCCATAGACCCTCCACTATTTTGATGAATAAAATTCAACAATTCATCAAAAAAAAAAAAAAAATTTAATTAATGGCTGCTGAAGTCCAACCATGGCGATTGATCTCTAGCTCTTTTCATAAAACCATTCATCCATCCGTATAACATTAATGAAGAAAAATCAAGTCATCACCGGCCATAAACCATAATAAGAACATACAGCACGACATCAAGTTTCACAAGATTACAAGCAAATGTTATGTTAACACAATCATCTGGTAGCTAGCTAAGAAATGATCTACTCTGCTACATATCTAGGAGACTAGGACTCATCAGTTACGTTGCTCCTTCCTGCTTAACTTAAACTTGGCATCGGTACTTGTATTTGCCAGCATAGTAGAGGAAACACACAAAATTCATAAGCAGCAGCCCAGCGATTAAGAAGAAGTAATAGTCCAGCTTGCCTTGATTCAGATCATTAGGAAGCCAGTTTCCTCCTTTGTGAACCGCTGACACCAACACTCCAGCCAAGGAATATCCAAGCCCTCGAGCAAGGAAGAGCGGCGCCCACCAAGCAACAACTTTCATCCTCTCCGGAAACTCCTGCTGGCTGAAGATCACCAATCCAACGAGTGACATCTTATCCGCAACTCCGGCCACCGCGATTTGAGGAATCAGCCACACGCTCCCCATGGACGAGTCCATCCTCCTCTTCCTCTTCTCTTCAATCAAGCCAGCCACGACCAAGGAGACGACCCCTAGGAACAGCCCGGTCCCAACCCTCTGAAGCACCGTGATCCCGCCTTCCTTTCGGGTGATCCTCTGTGCTGCCGGGACGAGTAGTTTGGCGTAGATGGGGATCCAAATTGCGGCAGCGAGCTTGAAGAAGACATCGTGGAACGGCGCAGGGATTTCGAAGTTCGACCCGAACAGTCTGGTGTCGGACTGCAGAGCTTGGACGGCGATGTAGCTTCGGAGCTGGGATATGGCGAGTTGGAAGGGTACGAAGGTTGCCCATACGGGGAGCAACCTCAGCAAGATCTTCACTTCCTCCACTTGCTGGATGCTGCAGAGGCTCCATGGCTCCTTTGGCGACCCATCCTGGTTGAGCTCGTCGTGTGGCGTGACAATTGCTGCCTTGTCCAAGAATCTGATCATATATTTTATTCAACCCAAATTGGTTAGCATATAAAATTTGATTACAAAGTAAATACATAAAAGAAAGCAAAACTCAAGGTTCGTCTACATGTTTGGATTTAGGTGGTCTTCAAATCCAATACAGTGGTTTTAACATTGTTTGTTAGGCTAGGTGTGTAAATTGGTGGTATCCAAAATTAAGCAAATTCTTCATCTTTCCTACCCCTTTTCATAGATCTCTCTATTTTAATAGGTGAATTCCATGAACAAACTCAACATTCGAACTGAAACGTTTTCAAATTTATAAATATGATCAAATCTTTTATATTTCAAATCAAAGGATTCCTCGGACCAAAAAATTTATTAAGTGTGCGCACACACGTCAGAAAATTGCAATTGATCATATTATCTCTTTAAAAGAACAAGTTACAAGTTTACTGTTTCTTAGAGTCACATCAAAACACTGTCACTTGGTTTGCTTTTTTGCCTCTTGTTCTCCTTTCTGATTGGCCCTTCTTCTGAGTACTGACATCCATAGGTGGCTCTCTTTTGTAATTAACCATTAACCAAGGTTTTACTGAGGACGAAAAATGCACTGATGTTTCCTTTCTTTGCCAGATTTTAGCTGAGTCTTCGTTTGTAATCATTGCTTTCCTCTCTCTGGTCTCTATGTTTTTTGCCTGGGTTGCTTCGCCAGCGACTTCTCTTCTCTCTGCAACTGATCGGTTTTCGGAACTCCTCACCTTTCCCCTGGAAATGACAGCACTGCCGCTTCCTTATCTGTTCCTTTCCCCACAAAAGTCTTGTTTTGCTTTGCTACCTTTCATTTATGCTTCTCACAGACTTTCCCTCTGCTATCTTGCTTTCTTCTATTGCTCTTCCATGGTGACCCATAAATTGCTTCTTGACCTCAGCGACTCCGATGGCCCTCAGACTCTTCTGAAGCTGCGCCTCCTTAATGCGTGGGGGTCTTATGGTCTGAAGAATCCTAAATTAATCTTCAACTACTGCACTCTTTGGAACGATGAGGAGGTTAGCGCTGCTTTTCTGTTTTTTTTTTTTTGCCATGCAATTTTGCGCCTCCCTTTTGTTTGCAGCCCTCTGATGTTCGTGTATTTCCTGCCCAGGGTACTTTGATTCAGGGCACAGCTCCGTCGGAACTCACGCGCCATTTTGCTCCGCTTCTGCAGTTGGGTAGCGTTTACTTCGTTAGCAATTTCCGCGTCAAGCCACCGTCCCCTTCGTATCGTTCTTGCTCTCATAAGTTGACCATCGTCCTCTCTGCCGCTACACAGTTCGAAGACGTGACCCGTTCGTCGCCTTCATTCTGGCCGGATGCGTTTGAATTTACCCCGTTCAGTTCGCTTCATTCCCGCATACGTTCATCGGTTTATCTAACAGGTCTTATTCTGTGTCCTTTACGTCTCTTGCTGTTCGTTTTATAGTGTACTGAATAACATCCTTTGCGTTCTTCTCTTGCTTGCGGCTCTGTCAGATGTCGTTGGCGCTGTTGTTAGCATCACAGGCGTTTCTAGCACCGTCACTTCATTCGGTACCACTGTGCGTAGTGATTTGGTGCTTCAGAATGAAAAGTATGTTACACATGCACACCACTTCTTTATCGACTATAATACACCTGTTACTAACTTTCGGTGTTTCGTTGCCCAGTCACATGTTTCTTGATATCAGCCTGTGGAGTGAGATAGCTCGGAATCTCAATGGTCAGGAACTGGCTGTCCTTGGTCGTTCTGGGCCAGTTATGCTAGCTGTTTCCTCACTTCGGGTCACTGGCGCTACGAAAGGTCTCCATATACCTTACCGCCGCAGGATTCTCCCTTTCATTTCCCTTCCTCTTTTCCTCATTAACTTTACCCCTTTTGTAGGAGGTTACTCTCTTACCAGTACTCCAGGCACACGTTGTGTTCTCAACCCTGTTTCTGAAATGGCTCACCTGGTCCAATCTGTGTATGCCTCTTCTTATCCTTATCATATTTTTTTTTCCCTCAGCATCGTCAGTTGTCTTTTTGTTCCTGCTAATTTGTTGCGTTCCTTGCTTTTGCTTTCGCTAGGTTCTTTGCCAGCACTAATACATGTCAATATTACCCTCCGAGGTTTGCAACTCCTAATGAGGCAGCGGCTTTTGAAGCTGAATGTACGAAGACTGTAGCACAGCTCCTTGCCTTGTGTTTTCCACCTGCTGCCGATGTATGTTCCTTCCCCTTTTGCTCTCCTGCTTACCTGCTTCTGTTCCTTTCACTTCATTTGTTTGTCCGTCTAATCGTTTCTTCCGTTTCCTTTTGTGTAGTCTACGCGTTACCATTGCTCTGGTCGGGTCGTCTCGGTTGATTCTTCTATGCAGTGGTATTACTTGGGTTGTGCGCTTTGTTCCAAAGCAGCCATAGATTATGATGGTGTTGACAAATGGTGTGATGACCACCGTCGATTGGTGCCTCAACAAACACAGAACTTGTAATTCCTTTCTTCATTCTTGCCCCCATACCTTTTGCCTTTTCTCGTGCCCTTACATGCTCCTGTACGTGTTTTGTGCAGTTACAAGCTCCGGGTAACAGTTGATGACACCACTGGATCAGCAGCTTTTGTTCTGCTGGGTAGGGCCGCTGACCTTCTTGTGGGCTTGACTGCTAACGATCTCTCTACCAGGTTTCCTTACCAGCGCAATGTTTTGCCACAAGAACTCCTGGCTCTTGAAGGGCGAGACTTTACTTTTGACGTCCAGCTTCCAAAACCGGAATATGGGTCTCGTGGCCCCCCAGAGTTCACGGTCCTTGCTGTCACTGAACAAGAACAACCAAATTCCTGCTCACCAGCTCTTGGTCGCCGGGCAAGAAATGCTATGTCCCATACACCACCTCCTAACAGGTATTTAAATGTCCTGACTTTTGTGGTACGTTTTCCTTTTGTTCATTACTAATCGCTGCTTTCCGTTGCAGTCCTCACAAGATGCCTCTTGCTTCTCCATATGTTGTTCCAACAATGCCGAACGCTTCGGTAGACCATGGTCCTTCTGTTGCTTCACCGAGGTTATGCTTCCATTTTACATGCCCTCTTTTCCCTGATTGTTCTTTGTCTTGAACTCGGGTTTCTTCTTAAATTTGCAGTGGGAGTTCTCAGCTTGCATTTTCTACTCCTCCACGTCGCCCCTATAGCAGGTTGTTTCTAAAATTCACTTTGCTTTACAAAATTGACAGCGCTCCTTTGGACGCTGTCGTACTCTTCCCAATGTGTTGACATTTCTTTCCCATGCGTTGTTTACCATCAATTTCCAGTAGCCGCATCGCTGCTGTATCTTCGCCCTCATCTGCTGCATTAGGAAGGTTGTCTGTTTGTTGTCTGCTTTGCTAGCTTAGTTCTGCTTATACACGTTCTTAAGTCGTTTCCTGACATGTTTCTTTTAAACATCAGTTCCGTACCTTCTTCTCCCGACTTAGTCGTACTGAGATTGTTT